CTCCTAATTAAATCCTTTTCTTTCTCTTAGTTTTCACACCCAATCAATCCTTTATACACCTTTTACTTAGTTTACACTCCTAATTAAATCCTTTTCTTTCTCTTAGTTTTCACACCCAATCAATCCTTTATACACCTTTTACTTAGTTTACACTCCTAACTAAATCCTTTACTTAGTTTTCACTCCGAATTAAAAAAAAATTCCTTGACCTTAACTTTAACTTATTTTTCATCAAATCAGTCCTTCAATTTACCTTTCACACTCCCAATTAAAAAGCAAATCACTTTCTTCCTCCGGCAATCTTACGCTCAAATCACAATGAATGTAAATAAAGTATATTCCTCATTTTCACAATCTGGGTAAGGTACATTATAAGTTCAGATGACAAATCTCTTTTTGAAAACAGATAAGGCACATTCAATAAGAAAGAATGGAAATCGAACGAAGCCTATGGGAAAAGCATAAGGAAGTACGGTAAGATATGATGATTTAAATGCAACCAGAATTTCTATTATACTAAAGAAATTATTAAAACATTTATGCTTTTTCTTTCTTTTTAGTGTTCACCAGCTGTAAAATACAGCGGAAAGTTCTGGCTTTTCATCCACTTCTGAACTTGAGTCTTATTCTAGAAATTGAGTTTTGCATGCAGATTCATTTTATAAATCTGGCTTATTTGTATGCAGACTGCTGGTTCCTCGCCTCTCTAGATGCACTACAGCTTCAAAGAAAACACCCCTAACTTTTACGACATGCTTGTTAGTGAGGCAGTAGGTCTAACTCCTTCACCACCTATAGGGCACAAAAACACATAAATTGAATTTATGCTTTAAAAAAACATTTTTTTAAAACTATTTTAATAATGATTTTTCAAATGCCATTTATAAGGATCCTAAACATCTTTATCACGGCTTGTGAAGCCATTCAATAACTGTCTGTAGCAATCTTCAATTTTATATAACAGTATTTTCAAACATACAAAGGCTCACATGGATATGCATCAGTATAAGTTGCTTTTAACAAATTTCACTGAATCAGTATCATTCTTGTCATCAGTTCTGTGCTGCTCTTTTTTTTAATCGCAGCTAAATTCTCTTCTGACACTAAACATCCATGAAAGGATGGGACCTACTCTTTCCCATCACAGTTAAACAAGCACTTTTGGGTTAAATCTAATCCATATGAGACTAAACTTTCATGGAATTACAGTACCTGCTCTTTCTCGTCGTGTTTAAACAAGCACTTTTGGGTTAAATCTAATCCATATGAGACTAAACTTTCATGGAATTACAGTACCTGCTCTTTCCCGTCGTATTTAAACAAGCACTTTTGGGTTAAATCTAATCCATACGAGACTAAACTTTCATGGAATTACAGTACCTGCTCTTTCCCATCATATTTAAACAAGCACTTTTGGGTTAAATCTAATCCATACGAGACTAAACTTTCATGGAATTACAGCACCTGCTCTTTCCCATCATATTTAAACAAGCACTTTTGGGTTAAATCTAATCCATATGAGACTAAACTTTCATGGAATTATAGTACCTGCTCTTTCCCGTCGTATTTAAACAAGCACTTTTTGGCTAATTCCAATCCATATGACACCAAACATTCACGAAATGATGGCACATGCTCTTTTCCATCATATATTAACAAGCACTTTGGGATTAACTCTAATCAATTTCACACTAAACATTCATACAATATGACATGTGCTTTCTAAAAAAAAAAATCTGACTTATATTACAATCCGTCTAACTCTAAGCATTCAAGAGGTGACAATAGTGGCTCTGTTTTCATTAGGCCTATTTTATGATCAAATAGCACTAAACAATAGAAAACGTTGATACCTGTTCTATTTCACAACACCTAAATAAGACTTTTGGATTAATTATAATCCCTTAAAATTTAAGAAATGTTGGCGCGTGCTCCGTTTCATCATACCTGAATAAGACTTGAAATAATTCTATTCCTTCTCAAATTAAACAATCATAATGTATGTATAATGTAAAATGATTTTTTTAAAGTTTTTTTTTTTTTAATTTATGGGTTTTGGGTCTTTTTCGTGGATAAAAAAAAATTCTTAAAGGACTGGTAATGTTGTAGACAGCTTCATTTTGCAAAATGAAACTCAATACTTGTTTCGACATCATTAGATTTCCCCAGTGAATCATAGACAGCTGATAGGTTAGTAAACAATTATTTGGAAGCTGCTGAGATGTGGTTTAGAGACAAATGATGAGAATACCCTCGATAGATGAAAAGAGTTTTGAGGATGTCTTGAAAGAAACTGACTCACGAAGAGAACTGATTGCCCACACCAAAAAGAGACAATCTACATTCTTTGGTCATGTGACGAGGAGGAGAAATCTGTAATACGTTGTGACAGTAGGAAAGTTGGAGGGGAAGAGAGGCAGAGGAAGAACCAGAGAAAAGGTGCTGGACAGTTTGACATCATGACATGAAGGATCATCTTGTCAGAGTTGACTAAAGTACACAAGACAGAATGTTGTGGATAGACATGACTAACAATGCTACACAGCATAGACTTAAAGAAGATTATTTCTAAAAGTATCAACGAAACAATCACGGAAATCTGATAATCCTTAATCAACTTTTAAACAAAAGAAATCATCAAATAGAACAGTCAGTGAACTTTCAGCATTCATAATCAGCCTAAACAGATGTCCATAATAAAAAATAAGAAAGCTTTACTGTTTCATGCAAGTGTTATTGTTCTTGTTCTGTGAGCCCCATTATCCAAAACAAATACACTTTACGCTGTCAACAAAATGTTCCCTGTTGCACATGAAATGTGACAGCACAGACCAGAACTAGGTCTCATGACCTGGTTGGTGGTCACCAACGGATCCACATCAGGGCACAATGGTAGTAACCCATGTAACTCATAAGTGCTAAGCTCTGCTTCTCACTCAAGTCTGAGTCCGAAGAATCTCAGTGCAGTGCACGAACTCCGCAGCACCGGCGAGGATCCTGACCTATATAAGGTATGAAAGATAAACACACACACCTATTCATCTCATACTCTAGATGTAATTCTTTAGTCTCAGAACATAGTATGGCAAATACTCCAGAGGAAAAATAACCACTAGCAAATCCACAGTTCACTATTTTCAAGATTCTAAATAAAATATATATTGGAATTAGCCAGATTTTTTAGCATGCTCTGGCTGAATGAAACAGGTTAGAGTGCAAATCATGGAATTGTTGGGCTTCATTGAAGTAAGGCAGAAGAGCCCTCATATGTTGCTTGGTATTTAAAGAGTTATGCAGCCTTCTGTTGCTGTGATATAAATAGTTTTCTATCGTTATCATTATTATTACTGCAATTAATGATGAAAGATTCCTAAACATTACTATCAATCTGTATTCCACAGTTCTGCACTGGCAAATGGTAACTTATCATGACATGAGTGCAAATGCTGATGATGATGATGCAACCAAGTGCTGAGATTATGAACTGGCCAATACTTGCAGGTTAGTAAATCACTGTTTATCTCCAACCCTTCTGCAGGTGGGAGAGCTTGAATGACACCATGAAGGTGGCAGCCCAGACAGGTGATGAAGACATCTGGAAGTCTCGGCCTTCTCCCCACACCTGCTAGTCACTGATAAAACTTTCAACTACAGCCCCCCCCCCCAAAAAAAAACATTCCTCCTTTAGGTGCCTGAAAAGAAATAAGTTTGCATAATTTAGTGCCTGATGTTCCGTCTGTGGGTTTACTTCGGTTATTTAGACAGCACATCAATTTATCATTTTATTCTGAAAATAAAAAAAAATAATTTTACGTATCTTCTTCTTCTTTGCGTTCACCAGCTGTAAACTCTGGCAAAAAGTTCTGGTTGTTCATCAACTTCTGGACTGCAGGCCTGTTCCAGATCCTGAGTGTTGCGTGTGCATCTGTTTTATAGATCTGACTCATTTGTATGCAGACTGCTGGTTCTTTGCCTCTCAGGCAGATGAACTCCAACTTTGAAGGAAGCTCCTAATTAGTCGACTCTTACGACATGCATTTGGGTAGGCAGTGTATCTATTCTTGTTTTCCCTATAACAGGGCCCCAGAACCCAAACGAGGATATAATATATATTTTTTTATTTCTTAGACAGATTCTGTTAATCCAGCAGTCAAAAAGTTGACAATTGATTATGTTACATTCCGTTTCGGCTAGATAATGACATAAGTATCAGTCGTATCACATTATTAAAACAGCAGCAGCTAATGGGATAAGAATCTTCTACACTAGATTTTTCAAAAAATACAGAAGTTGTGGAGTAAAGGATCTCTTATGTCATGAAGACAAGCACTGGTATCTTCTTCTTCATGTCCTCGGCTGTAAACTTCAGCAGAAAGTTTCGGTTGTTCTCCCATCTGGACTGGACTTTGGTTAGTCTTGTTCTAAAACTTGAGTTTTGCAAGCACATCCCTTTTATAGATCTGGCTTATTTGTATGCAGACTGTTAGTTCTTTATCTCTCAGGCAGAGGCATTTAGAACCTTGAAGGAAATACCCCAAAGCACCCTCTTTTAAGCCTTCAAACTTACTGGACATATAGGGCTAGACCTATATTTTATAGACCAATAGGCACTCAGTATCACGCCGGCCGCCTTTACTGCCCAGGATGTTACAGTAGCTCCTAAACACCTAATTAGTCACCTCATATATTGGGAGCAGTCCTGACCTATAGGTGTGAGTCATGGGCAAAGATAACAGCTCACAGAGGCCAGCTTCAGGATTTAGAAATGAGATATCTGAGAAAGGTGGTCCAAGTGACAAGAAAGGATAAATTCCCTAACTGACAGCATCTCTCTGGGAAACCTCTTCACCCCAAGGTACAAGAGCAGTGACTAAGTAAGTAAAAGTATATGTTGAGAGTTGTGAAGGCCTGAGGCTCCGAAATTTCCCATGGGGTGCAGAAGTTATTGAGTTGAGGATCTTTTAGGCCACAGACAAGCGTAGAAATGACAGCAGCAGTACTCACCTGTATGATGGTGGTGATGAGGAGATGCAGGTCTATGATGTAGATTGCCAACCAAACCGGGCGCCAGCCGCGGGGGCAATGACGACAGGGGCTGGTGAGACGAGGGGTTGAACGGGCTTAAGACTGAGGCTGGCTGCTGGGGCACCACTCGAGGCATTTCGCACATTTCGCATTTCTTCAATGCCGGATGGTTGGAGAAGGTGCAGGCTGAGCAATTCCACGACTCCCCTTCCTCTGAGTCTCCAGAGTTGATCACAGGTTGAGCAGGAGGGACTGGAGGCACTCGAGAGATATCACTAGAGGATAAAATCCCGCTGCTGGCAAGAACTGGGTCTGTGGAACGTTGCCTTGCTGGGAGCGGTGGTGGGGGCCTTGGGGGTGGGATAGGTCTTGGGGAAGCTAAGAAAGATAAAATCAATACATTACTGTAAGGTCATTCATTCATTGTGAATCCTTGAATGCAAGTTTATGAACATAAACTCCCTCTATTTCACATCTGTAGGGGGTAGCTGGTGAAAATACCCTCTCTCTCTCTTAAATAGGTATGTAGTTTATGAACATACCATCCTCTTTTTCAGATATGTATGTAGTTTAAAAATGTGTCATCCATCTATTTAAATGTGTATGCAGTTTTTGAACATGTCACTTATTTATTTGAGATTATTATGTAGTTATGAAAATGTAATCTCCTCAACTGAAGGTCGTAGGTTCAGGTGCTGATGGAGTCTGGTTTTTTTCTTTTGAAATGACCTTGGCTGCCAGGTCGACCCAACCTCAAATGGGTACCTGGTAAAATCCTAGGAAGTAAAGGTGGCCAATGTGATGCTTACCGCATCAGCCACCGAGTGCTGATTGGTCTATAAAATACAGGTCTAGCCCTATATGCCCAATACCCCCGAAAGTGTAGAAAAAGGTCCTTTACTTAATCACTCCATTTCAAAGTGGTACATAGTTACGAAATGTCGTTACTCTATTTTAAACTGGTATGTAGATTATAAATATACCATCTCTCTCTATTCGGACCGTGTATGCAGATTATAAAATATGCCACCCCCCTATTTCAGACTTAGTATGTAGATTATAAATATACCATCCCCCTATTGCAGACTGGCACATAGATTATAAATAAACCATCCCTCTATTTCAGACTGACATGTAAATTATATTTTCTTCCTTAAGGATTGTGAGATATCAGAAAAGAAAATTAGTAACCATAAAAATGACATGTGAGAAGGGCCCTAAGAGTGACCAGAAGAGATCAAATCAGGAATGAGGTCACATGAGAAAAAGTCAGCACAAAACCAAGCCCAAATGACATACTAAGACAGCAAATCAAAGAAAGAATGCCTCTGATACCATACTATACAAGGCATTCACCAAAAGAGAACAAGGACAGTGAGCCCAAGGAAGACCAAGGACAAGATGGAAATATAGTATCAGAGAAACTCTACAACAGCCTGATGTGTCTATGGCCTAGGCAGCCAGAAAAACAAAAAGCAGAACCTGATATCTTTCTCGACACCCGAAGTGGTAAAAGAAGAAGCGAAGAAGAAGAATGACTGTGAGATAGTCCACACATACATTCATGTGTTGCTATAAGAAAGATGTACAATCTCATTCTGTAATTATACTAACAGTGTTAACTAATAACAAGCATTAATGACAGAAACATTCAAAATAAATACTCCTGACGTACGTGATCTATCCTCTGGGGTTCTAGAATATATAGGATCCTGCTGTCCAGTCGGCATGTTGTCAAAGAAGTTCTGCTGATCACGAGGGTTTATTTTGTCAAAGGGTGCTACAAATATAAACAAAATAAGATACAAATTAACAATAACACATAGACAAATTTACAAGCATATATGTTAAATGTATGTTTTTTGCTATCAATTCTATGCCCTGGCCTTATCTTCTGTGTTCATCCCAGGACGTAACTGTGTTGTGCCCGTTTACAGCAAGACTGCGATATCTGCGTCTTTCGGCTGACAATATACGATTTCCTCAGGCATCTGTTGCCTGGGTTGGCCTTCTGATTAGTTTCAAGAGACATTATACAGTCTCAACATCTTTTCTGGTGCCCCTATCAGGCCGATCCTAAGCAGCTACCTAATGCTGGTTAACTCTGAAGATTTGTTCATTGTGAAGAGAAACCAGAGGAAAAACTCTGAAGACAAGGCAGAACATAAGCACCCCCCCCCCCCACCACTCCCGTGTGGGTTTCGGGGTCCCATTGTGGGGAAAACAAGAACAGACCCACTGCCTCCCCAAAAGCATGTAGTAAGAGTCGACTGATTAGGGAGCTTCCTTTGAAGTCGGAGTGCATCTGCCAGAGAGGCAAGGAATCAACAGTCTGTATTCAAGAGAATGAGATCTGTAAAACTGATGCACACGCACTCAGGTTCTGGAGCAGGACTGCAGTTCACTAATGGACGAGCAGCCAGAACTTTCCGCCAGAGTGTACAGCTGGTGAACGCAAAGAAGAAGAAGAAGATAAGCACCCCTCCCCCAATGAAGCTTTCATAAATGCAAAGCCAATACTTGGCGCTCTGGTACCGGACTCGGCTCGCTCAAAGTAATTTCCCATCCTGCTCACGACTGTTTAAGCTCACTTCCGTATGTTGAGCCTCTCACACATCCTGTGTCACTCCTTTATAAGCCAGGTGGAGGTAGACTTTGGCTTCGATTACTTCCACAAACCAAGTGCTTTGCTTCTTGGTTCATTGCTTTGCTCAGTAACAACAAAAACTTGTCATAGTTAACCAGCATACCCGAAGGAGAATCTTTAAGTTATAATTGTGACTAGGTTTCATGCGCCATATAAAATGACTTAGCACTGCTCACCACCAAGCAGCTCTGAAAAGAACTCTTGCAGTGCTGAGGCGATCAAAGAAGACAGACTTAAATACGGTCCGACCGGTGACAAAATCATTTACCGCCAAGCCAATGGGGGACCAATTGTTTCTCTTCTTCAGCATTTTAGACATTTATCATAGTGGACTTGTGTCCACTGATCGAACCCAGCACCCCGGCATTATGAAGCACATTCGCAACACCTAAGCCACAGCGGCATCATACAAACAGATGGACAGATAGGTACTATTTATTTTAGAATAAATCATCCCTTGTGTTTTAATATTTTTTTTAATCCCATCATCATCATCATGTAGCAGGTCCTTTGCAGAACGTCGCTCTCACCACAGTCTGCCTGAAAAAAAACTCGGTTTCTCGCCAACTCTCCCGCCTCATGTATTTTCATACTCAAGGAGTCACTTATATCCTGTGCACATCTTTGTGTCGGTCGGTCCCTGCCCCTCCTTCCTGGTACCATACGTTCTGCTATAATTTAATCCCATAGAAATACCTAAATATATTGGCGTTTGTTCCGGTTAAAATGGACGCTAGACAGCGGCGCTGTGTCGGAGCGGAGGCAAATTTTTTGCTTCTGCCGGACGGTGGCCGAAGTATTTTTGCTCCATTTGTAGACTGGATATAGTTTCGTCGCCCAGCTTCTAAGTTGAATGCATGGCGTGACCCTGTGAGCTGCGGATTGCATTTGGAATGTTTTTTCGACTGTGACCAACGTGGTGTGAATTGTAGATTCAGAAAATGGCGCGATGCGGATGCCGGTCGTCAATGTTGGCGGTGCCCGTGTATGATTACAATTGATCGCGTGGGAAACTGCTGATCTGTTGGCGACAAGTTCTGCTATCATCAATGATGAACTGCATTTCTAATGTTGGACTGTTTGTGTTAGCACTTCGGATGGCTACCATATGCTTTAATGCGAGTGTATGCTAGATATGCTGAGACAGCAGTCTGTCAATCTTTCCACAAGGGACTGTGATAAACATTCTGAGTGTTTTTCGCTGGCACAGGAGCGGAGCAAAGATGGGGCAACCCGTTTGCTATGAAGCTGAAACTAAGACTACCAGACTACCAGACTACCAGACCTAAATATTATGTGATGAATTTAGTTGTTGTTGTTTTTTTACTGTATCTAAACATAGTCAAAAGAAAAAGTTCTGTTATGATGACTGACATAATTGTGTATGAACATTCTCATGCACGCTCAATCACACACATGCAGTAGCCATCCTTGGGTACCTCTAGTGACTGTTTAAATAAAAGGTAAAGGGCCCTTATATTGGGTCTATAGGGCTAGACTTAAATTTTACAGACCAATCGGCACTTGGTGAGTGATGTGGTCAGCATCACGCCAGCCGCCTTAACTTCCCCCAGGGCTGTACCTGGTACCCGCTTGGAGCTGGGTTGACCTGGGAGCCAAGGTTATTTTTTTTAAACAACACCTTATGACCCGCAGCCTCTCTCTGGTGACTGTTCCCCTTTTAAATTTGTAATACTGCCTATAATCTTGACCTCAAAGGTGGCACAGATGTGCTTCACCAAGTTTCACTCCCAGGTCATCTAGTCAGATTAGCATCAGAGGCTGATTAGCATCAGAGGCTCATCATTATCAGCCAGTCTAGTGCACACAGTATAATATTTCCTGTTATTACTAAACACAAACACAGCCCCTCAAACAACTGTAAGAACTATGAATTTATTTAAACAGTGAAGGAAATATCTTACTTTGGCCACTCCGATACATGTCTATCTCATTCATGTACAGTTGTATATCTGTCTGAAGACGTCTGTTGTTCTGACACATTTTGGAAATGTCCTCAGCCTGCAGGGCAATAAGAAAGAGTGACGACTAAACACACTTACTTGGCCGGCATGGGCAGGTCATTATCCTACATCTTGGGACAGGACATAACAAACTTAACCAGCATATGCATAGGCTTCATCTAAGCAGTTCACCTTTATGCCCTTGTGGGCTGTGTGCAGACTACAGAACATGTCCTGCAAGAATGTCCCTTGTTCAGCTCATTAAGAGGGAAATACTGGCCCCGGCAGTCACCACTGCACGCAAAGATGTTTGGAACTAAAAAGGAACTCATAAAAACAGTCAAGTTTATCACAAGAACCTGTCAGTCAGTGTAAATCAGAAAGCAGGCACAAGAAGAAGAAGAAGAATGATTACATAAATCTTTGGTGGAGGCAGTTTCTTCATCAACATAATTCTATGTTGCTACATTGTAACAAAAAACTTCAAGTGGTACAGTATAAAAGATAGCACAGTAGCTTAGAGGTATCATCTTCTTTTTGGCATTCACTATGGAAATTTCTGGTTGTTCATCCACTTTTAGACTTTGGTCCTGTTCCAGAGTTTGCATTTTGCATGCTTATTCGTTTCACCAATCTGGCTTATTTGAATGCAGACTGTTTATTAGCCAATCTTTCTTGTCGTTCAGACCTTTTAGAATGTCAGCATTTTTCTTCTTTATTCATGGTATTCTGAGACTCCTGCTAAAGCACTTCAGCTCAAAGCCCCCTATTTTCTTCATTTTCTACTTTAAAAAAAGAAAAAAAGTTATGTTCACTTTTTTATACCAACACATAGATGAGAAACAAAACATAAAATAATACACACAGTAAGATCAACAGGAGAACTCACCGATGGAAAACTCCTGTTGTCGTTACTTGCTTCTATCTTGTTCTTCTCCATCATGCTGACTTCTGAACGTAATTTGTCTAGAACAACTTTATAATGGTTCATTTCTTCTAGAAGTTTCTGTACTTGGCTTCTCTGATGCTGCACCAAAGCTACAGACAAAGTTAAAATATATGCAAAAATGACTGTAAAAAGCATTATATTTAACACGTATGCATATGGTTTAATTTACATAAAACAGCATCACTGCACTATGAACAAAGTGTGCAGCCTCCGTCCGTAAATAGTTTAGGGCAGTAATAAAATGTACACATAATTAATTGTTCTTCTTTTCTCTACTCCTGGAATGTCTCACAGCATCAGGGGAGAAAGAGATCTCTAGAAGGAGCCCTTCTGTTCGCTTCATATATAGCACTTTTTGGTGTGTGTGATATTTCTGTGGCCTATCTTCTGCGTGGTCGACCAGTAATTACTCAATTTATATATTTACCTGAGAACACATTTAGCATAGTGAATAATGCAACGCCTCAATAGTGCAGTGTTCTTTCAATCTCATGATCTCATTTCTGATCACCCCTGCAGCCCTTCTCCGGCATCTTATTTCCAGTTATTATTGTTCATTTCTGAATTGTTGTGACCATGTCTAGCAAAAGCAACAGAAAGTGGGGATAAATATGCTTTTTATGAGTTCTTTCTGTGTGTTTGCCAGGGCTGTCTTCAAGTGTAAAAATAGTTGGTTTCCTTTACTGCAGTCAGGAGTGACTGACAGATAGTATTGCATTGGTTTCAGACTCCTTCTTCTTCTTGCTCACCTGCCGTAAAATCCAGGAAATAGTCCTGGCTGTTCCTCCACTTCTGAACTTTGATCTTCTTCCAGAATTTGAGTTTTGCATGCACACATCCATTTTATAGACCCGGCTTATTTGTCTACAGAAGTCGTTCAACGCCTCTACATCCCACATCAGACGACATGAAAAATTACTGGCAGTCAATGCCTGATTTGGTTAAAGTTCATCGACAAATGCTTTGATGTTTCCCAGAGAGACCAGTCACCTCCTATATCAACATACTAATGTGACAACAATTTGCTGGAATACAAGAAAGGCAAAGTTTTTGTTAAGGTGACAAATCACCTCCTGCATCAACATACTACTGTAAAGCTGCCTTGCTAGATTTTAATAAAGAAGCAAGTGTTCTGTCTCTGACATCCGACAGACCAGATTCCCACCTTGGAATGGATCCCAACATTGCTACACTGTGTTTAGTGCTGCTTATGAATACATTATTTAGTGATTATGTGTATTTGTGTGGTTTTGTTTGATTTATGTAATGTGCTGATGAAGGTGCTGTGGCTGCAACATTCACTTTTCGTTTATATTTGTTAAATTGTGAAGCTCACTTACCTACTTTTTGTTCGGTTTTATATCTTTTCATGATACACTGTGTTACACTTTATAGGTAGACAATAAATTAGATTGTTTTATAACAAGACTGGCAGCAGATAGGGCACAAAGAGCAATGTTATACAGATGCAACGATAACAGAGGTCAACCACACAGAAGATGCACCACAGACAATATCAGAGACGCTGAAAAGTACTTTCTACGAAACCTATAGAAAGGCCCATTCCAGAGATCTCTTCCTGCTCTGACGCCGTGAGGCCTTCCAGGAGTAGAGAAAAGAAAAAGAAAAAGAACACTGTGTTTGGACATTGTTTCACCAGGCAGACTGCATATTCATCTCTTGATGGTCTAGCCAGTCCTTTCATCTAGATCTAGGGGAGCATAGAGGCCTGATTGGGGCAATCTTGGCGTGGAATGTTTCTGGGCAGGTCAGAGGAAACTTAAGCTGCATCGGTTGGGAGATTTAGTTCATGGTCTGCTGCATTTCTAGCAGATCAGTGTCACTGCTACCCAAGGAAGAAAATAGTGCCAGGACAAATGGTCAAGTGCATCTACTTTCCAGGATCAGGGTCTTCTTCTTCTTAGCAGCACTCAGTCACAAACTCTGACAGGAAGTCCTGATTGTTCATCCACTTCTGGACTTTGGTCTTGTTCCAGACCTTGAGTTTTATGTGCATATCTGTTTTACAGATCTGACTTAATTATATGCAGAGTGTTAGTTCCTCGCCTCTCAGGCAGAATCACATGACTTCAAAGTAAACAACTCTAATCAGTCACCTTGTACGACACTGAGCAGTGGGTCTATTCTCTTCTACCCCTCACACCCAACTGGATCAATGGAACTCAGGGAGGATCAGGGTCATAGCCAATAACCTTGAGTGAGATCTTGGGATTGTATCTGAAACATTTCTTTTGTCCACTTGGGAAATTTTTTTTTTTTTTGTTGGGTAAGCTCACCACAGACAATTCTTTTTAACAATTGGTTGCCTGACACAAGAACTGTACTGTCTACCCAGTATAGCCTTGACTGGAGTGTCTGAATTCATGAGAGGATAATTTTACCCAGTAATGTTCTGAATGGATAGTGTGAATGAATTCGTGAGAGGATGATTTTACCCAGTAGTGTTCTGAATGGAATGTGTGAATGAATTCATGAGAGGATGATTTTACCCAGTAGTGTTCTGAATGGAATGTGTGAATGAATTCATGAGAGGATGATTTACCCAGAAGTGTTCTGAATGGAATGTGTGAACGAATTCATGAGAGGATGATTTTACCCAGTAGTGTTCTGAATGGAATGTGTGAATGAATTCGTGAGAGGATGATTTACCCAGAAGTGTTCTGAATGGAATGTGTGAATGAATTCGTGAGAGGATGATTTACCCAGAAGTGTTCTGAATGGAATGTGTGAATAAATTCGTGAGAGGATGACTTACCCAGTAGTGTTCTGAATGGAATGTGTGAATGAATTCATGAGAGGATGACTTACCCAGAAGTGTTCTGAATGGAATGTGTGAATAAATTCGTGAGAGGATGACTTACCCAGTAGTGATCTGAATGGAATGTGTGAATGAATTCATGAGAGGATGATTTACCCAGTAGTGTTCTGAATGGAATGTGTGAATGAATTCATGAGAGGATGACTTACCCAGAAGTGTTCTGAATGGAATGTGTGAATAAATTCGTGAGAGGATGACTTACCCAGTAGTGTTCTGAATGGAATGTGTGAATAAATTTGTGAGAGGATGACTTACCCAGTAGTGTTCTGAAAGAATGTGTGAATGAATTCATGAGAGGATGACTTACCCAGAAGTGTTCTGAATGGAATGTGTGAATAAATTCGTGAGAGGATGACTTACCCAGTAGTGTTCTGAATGGAATGTGTGAATGAATTCGTGAGAGGATGCCTTACCCAGTAGTGTTCTGAATGGAATGTGTGAATGAATTCATGAGAGGATGACTTACCCAGAAGTGTTCTGAATGGAATATGTGAATGAATTCATGAAAGGATGACTTACCCAGTAGTGTTCTGAATGGAACCACCAAATAATAAATGTAAAATGTCAACACACACATAAATAATATTCTGGAAGGCTAGCTTGGGCAACAAATACCTGAAGAAGTCAGTTGTGTTGGCCAAACAGTGCAAATATCGGAGTCATGGTGTCAACAAGCAAAACACATGTGTGTCCTAGGAGGAAGACAGAAACAGATGAGAAAGATATACAATACCTACCTCCAATATATTCTGCATCATCTTGTATACTCCCTGAGCGGGGTCGCGTAGATGTATCCCCTCTGTCCATACGACCAGAAGAGGAGTCTGAATTCAAACTGCCATGACTAGAAACACGGGAACCCATAGCACTGTAATGGCGGGGGTCAAAGTCTGCAGGCCCACTGGGTTCACTGTCTTGACTACTAGATCTGCTACCTAGAGACAACTGTCCTATCCCTATACTGGGACTCCGAGGCATGCTAATGGCTGCTGCATGCCCAGGATGTTGTCCGTACTGCGTGAAGTGCTGCAAGGTGCTGGTGGAGATCCCCGAGTTATGGCCTGGCATATACATTAATGGATATCCCATAACGTTTGTGGGGTTGTTGAACTGAGAATAGGATGAAGGGCTGTAGCTAGTGTTTGCTGCTGGCTGGTTCCAGTTTGCCGGAGGGCTGCTGAAACCAGGAAGCTTCAACTGATGTGCATTTTGAGGATACATCTGTTCTTGTTGGGTGTGGCCTAAAGAAGTATTTGCATGGTTTGGAAAATCCTGGCCATACTGAATGTTGTAATTTGGTAAGTTGCTTTGAGCATTAAACTGCCCACTTTGATAGGGCAGGTATCCGAGATTTGAGGGCGGAGGTCTGACATTGCCCACTTGGTAGAATCCAGGTGTGAAATTTGTGTCATTATAAGCACCTCGCATCCGATCCGTCTTAATTTCAACAAAGACAGGCCTAGATTGTGAAATTCCTGGGGAAGATGCTGGCACAGGGGCTGACAGTCTGCCCAAAGGAAATATGCCAGTTTGTCCAGAACCAGGCGAAATTTCACTAGTTTTGAAAGATGTTGGGGGATTTGGTGTTCGCCTCCCACCGATTGTCAGATCACTACCGCTGCTACTGGCGCTGATTTTTCGTTCAGGAATTAAATTATTTATATGGCTGGATGTGTCCACAACTATGCTGGATGAGTGTATAGGATGGGTCGCTGAGGGGTCCGTACGGAGTTCACTGCGATACTGCTGGCTGACATTTGGTGTTGATCCATAGTGCTGTGGAGTGGAAGGAGGAGAAGAAATGGTGCAAATGCCTCCGGTGTCACCAAAATGCATGTGAATATGGCGTGAACTGGACGGGGCGGGAGCACGATATACTGAACCTCCAGACAGAGATCCTGGAGGAATGTTGATCACTTTTACCGGATGCCGTGGCTCCCCCACTGGACCGCTGGAAGATGGTGGGCTGGGCATGAGCTGAGGCCTGTTTGCAAAATGTGCTGATCCTCCCAGTCCTGGCACAAATCCAGGGGCCGAGCAATTTACATTTGGAATATCTTTCACAGTATGTACGAAAAACGGAGTAAAGTCTGGAGGTGCCGACTGTGGAGTGTTCATGCTGCTGTTAGCAGATCTGCCAGGCTGAGCAGACGCAGGTCTATCAGGGGGCTGCTGCACATTCCAAGACACTGACTGGCCATAGGGTCTTTTTGTTTGTTCCAGAGGTCGGCTTGCATTACCAATAGATGCTTCTATTGTAGAAACATGCCGTTCTGGCGTGACAGGTCTCTGCAGAGGACTACTCTCCGGAGTCTTAAGGGTGTCTTTATTCCTGGGGGTCAAAGGTCTTCCGTCATTTGGGCTTTCTAAATTATTGTTGCTATTAGTGTTTTTTGGAGCTGTGCTTGCTTGAGATGATTCACCATCTGGACTGTTCAGTCTTTTTTCAACTTCTGAATCCAGAGCTTGTCGACACTTTTGTTCATCATTCTCATACTGAAATACAAAAGGCATTGCAGATGTCAACCGCTTACTATTTATATGCATCCACAATGTATCCACTAACCTCTCTTGGGCATGCAAACGTACAAACACCAAATTAAATATTTGTGCCTCATTAATTTATTATTCTTAGTGTTCACCGGCTGAAAGTTCTGGTTGTTCATCCCCTCCTAGACTCTGGTCTTGATCCTGAGTTTTTGCATGCACATTTATTTTACAGATCTGAATTATTTTGTATGCAGACTGTTGGTTCCTTGCCCCATCAGGCAAATGGACTTCGAAGGAAGCTCCCAATTAGTTGACTCTTACGACATGCTTTTGGGTAGGCAGTGGGTCTATTCTTACTTTCCTTATAATAGGGCCCCGGAACCCATCTGGGGAGGCAAAGAACAAATAGTCTACAAATAAATAAGTCAGATATGCAAAACAGATGTGCACGCAAAACTCAGGATCTGGAACAAAGTCCAGATGTGGGCGAACAACCATAACTTTCTGCCGGAGTTTACAGTCGGTGAATGCGAAGAAGAAGAAGAAGAAGAAGAAGAAGAAGAAGAAGAAGAAGAAGAAAATGCATTGTTCCATCATTCTTCATAATTTTAAAATTTGTTTTCCTCATTGTGACTTTTATTTGTTTTGCTTGGCACCTCCCCATCTTTCCAAATGACAGTGTTCCATTGTGCTATATAAGGAGGAAGAGGAACCACAGCCCATAGTGATGACGAATGCAACTAACAAGACCGACCCACATTAAGAAGAACTTTCCACAATAAGCACATGAGATTTCAGCACCATCACAAGCATCTGACATGTTTCTTATCAGATGCTTAGCTCTTAACACGTCTGCAGTACTTTTCTCTTTGTCCCGATTCCCTTCCTAAATTGTCCCCTCTGTGCAGTACAAATGACAGCATCCTGTTTAATCCACCTCGATACCTGCCTGTATCATCCATATGTGATTTTTAACAATAAAGACACAAACAAAAGATTCCACAACTTACTACTATATGAGAAAATTCAGTGATATGTAAAAGCAACGTCTTTTTCTACTTTTGTGTTTACACTGAAAGGAATGGTTGGGGCCTTTATTTATGGGCTATCCTCCGAATAACAGTCCAAAATTTTTGAGGCTGAAAATATACCCTAACAGGGCCTGAGTCACATGTAAATTGTGGACTTCTTTCCGGCGACTATACAGCCACCACTGAGAGTATCTCCCACGCCGCGCATTGCGGGGCTTAACTAGATGGCTTGGACTCATAAGCAAATAAAAGGAAGCTGCAGGAGATGCAGTAGCTGCTGCTCGCGAGTCCTAACCATCTAGTTTAGTCCCGCACCGCGCTACTGCTCGGGAGATACTCTCGGCAGTGATTTTAACTCGGCGACAAGTTTTTCCACGGTATGCTGTGTAGTCGCCGGAAAGAGGTCCGCAATTTACATGTGACTGAGGCCCTGTTAGGGTATATCTTCGGCCTCGATAATTTGGGAATGTTATTCAGAGAATGGCCAATCCATGGTTTACAGCTAAGCTGCAATATCTGCACATTTTGACCCAATACAGTGGACTTCAGCAAATCCCTAATCAGTCACCAATGGGAGTGGGGGGGGGGGGGGTGTGTGTGTGTGTGTACATGTGCAGTGAGTCTATTCTTCCCCCCCCCCCCTCATTTGTAAACCTAGGATTGGAGATAATATAAGATCAGCTTTCAACATTGCTAGTTGTCACTGTCTTGAGCAAAGTGGCTGGTCAAACAGTTTAGAATGCTAGGCTCTCCTGCGGGACAGCCATGTTCAAACCCCTCCCCCCCCCTCCCAGTAAGGTCATGGAAGTTTGACTGAGGTAAAAAAAATATAATATCCTAGCCTGCACAGAGATAGCAGCAGCACTAGTCATGCAGTCCCAAGTCTGCAGGCTCAAAGATCTCTGTTTATGCCATAAAAGTGGTAAATACTGGCAGTAATCGGCAGTTGTGTGGTTGTTGTTTTTGTGTGTGTGTGTGTGTGGGTGGGGGGGAAGGGGGGGGGGGGAACCAGACAATGATATGAAAACATGGTAACCAGTGGTCTTCTTACCTTTTTTAAGACCTTGAGAACAATTGTAATAGGCAGTGATGGGTATTCAGCATTTAACAATGACAACAGGCTGAAAGAAGAATCTGCCATGGCAGCTCTGGGGAAGAAAACAATATCAGACATCAACAAGGAGACACTGACGCACTAATAAATGAGAAGGAACCCACTACCAAAACGAACAGCTCCAACAACCTGCTGTGCTGTTACACATGGCTCAAAGTTTACTCTTCATTTCTGTCCTGTTCTGTTACAGTTTTTTTCTCTTCTTTATTTCATGGATAGAATCCAGACGAACACCTTTGGTCTGTCTCAACAACATTCACCTTAGAGTCTCTCTCTTGGACATCTTTATTATCTCAATCTATCTGTTTCTGATTTGTTGTGTGGTTGGTGGTTCTCTGTATGTTTGGTCTGCCTCAACAACATTCACCTTAGAGTCTCACTCTTGGACATCTTTATTATCTCAATCTATCTGTTTCTGATTTGTTGTGTGGTTGGTGGTTCTCTGTATGTTTGGTCTGTCTCAACAACATTCACCTTAGAGTCTCTCTCTTGGACATCTTTATTATCTCAATCTATCTGTTTCTGATTTATTGTGTGGTTGGTGGTTCTCTGTATGTTTGGTCTGCCTCAACAACATTCACCTTAGAGTCTCTCTCTTGGACATCTTTATTATCTCAATCTATCTGTTTCTGATTTATTGTGTGGTTGGTGGTTCTCTGTATGTTTGGTTTGTCTCAACAACATTCACCTTAGAGTCTCTCTCTTGGACATCTTTATTATCTCAATCTATCTGTTTCTGATTTATTGTGTGGTTGGTGGTTCTCTGTATGTTTGGTCTGTCTCAACAACATATACCTTAGAGTCTCTCTCTTGGACATCTTTATTATCTCAATCTATCTGTTTCTGATTTGTTGTATGGTTGGTGGTTCTCTGTATGTTTGGTCTGTCTCAACAACATTCACCTTAGAGTCTCTCTCTTGGACATCTTTATTATCTCAATCTATCTGTTTCTGATTTATTGTGTGGTTGGTGGTTCTCTGTATGATTGGTCTGTCTCAACAACATTCACCTTAGAGTCTCTCTCTTGGACATCTTTATTATCTCAATCTATCTGTTTCTGATTTGTTGTATGGTTGGTGGTTCTCTGTATGTTTGGTCTGTCTCAACATTCACCTTAGAGTCTCTCTCTTGGACATCTTTATTATCTCAATCTATCTGTTTCTGATTTATTGTGTGGTTGGTGGTTCTCTGTATGATTGGTCTGTCTCAACATTCACCTTAGAGTCTCTCTCTTGGACATCTTTATTATCTCAGTTCATCTGTTTCTGATTTGTTGTGTGGTTGGTGGTTCTCTGTATGTCTCCTCTCAAGATGTGCCAAAAATATTACCTTCTCTTATAACTGTTTACACCAGTGATCATCCAAACATTTTTCTTGTTTCCTTCACCTTTCCGGAAGTCCCTTATTTTGCTCAGGCTTTTAAAAACAAAACTATGCACTGAGTTTGTGTCAAATATCACATTCTTTTGCCGTTAACTTCCCAATCGGGAACAAAGTCTCAGGTCAAGAGTTCCAACCCTTTCATATCAACTAGCTGATGCAATGTTTAAACCTTGCAGGTGCCAATTCTGGTAATTTTCCTAGATTAAAAAAAAAAACAGCAGTTGATTCTTTTTCTTCTTTGTGTCCACGGGCTGTAACTCCAGTGGAAAGTTTTGGCTGTTTGTCCACTTGTGCATTTTGATCTTGTTCCAGAACTTGAGTTTTGTGTATGTCCATGCAGACTTCTGGTTCCTTGCCTCTTAGATGCACTCCGACACTGAAGGATAGGCGCCTAATTGGTTACATTTTATGACACGCCAGGGAGAGGAAGGGGGGGGAAGGCAGTCGATTCTTTCTTTACCTAAAATGGGGTCCCAGACACCAGGATTAAAACGTAGCTTTCTTCACATCATATCATACTTCTCCTAGAAATACATGTTTTATCCCAGCTGAGGTGACTGACTCTTTGTTTCTTGAACACTACCTCATGATTGGCTGTTGGAATGTGCGGCTAAAGGTCTTCCAGAAAATATAGGCAGGTTCATGTTAACCCTGTTTAGTATGACATTTACCCTTCTTATTCTTCTTCGGCACAAGCTCTTTAAAGAGTGGTCGATGGGTTATATCTGATTTACAGCTAGGTTGTGATATCTTGACCCAAAACATCCAATTTCAGGAAACCTCTAATTAGTCACATTTAACGGCATGATTGTTAGGGTGTGCAGTGGGTCTACTCCCCCCCCCCCCCCCTCTTTAACCTGAAATGGAATCCAGGAACCCACTCAGGGATTTTACCCTAATGGTTCATAGTATCATATTGACAATATCTTAATATCATCATCATCATGTGCACTGACAATAAGCAAAGTCATGGTAATCTTGATAGCAGACACAACCATTTAATTTGAAGGAAGGCAGTGGATATCTGCAGCAATTAAACCAAAGAGCTCAGAATGCTGAAGAAGAAGAAGAAGAAGCAGAAGAAGAAGCAGAAAAAGAAGGAGAAGAAGAAGAAGAAGAAGAAGAAGAAGAAGGAGGAGGGGGAGGAGGAGAAGGAGAAGTATGCTCTTTCTAATGTGTGTGTAAGATTATCTTAATTTCTTTAAGGCTGTTTTTAATGCCAACATTGCATTTTCATGTGGTCTTCCTTTTGCTCTGTGTCTAATTTATTATATTTCTTCAGCATAGCTCTCTGTTGGTATCCGGGCATTTTCATCACAGCTCCAGACCTCTGTGTGTGGGTTCTGGGGCCCCATTGTGGGAAAAACAAAAATAGACCCACTGCCTGCCCAACAAGCATGTCATAAGAGTCAACTAATTGGGGGAAGGGGTGGTGGGGGGGGGGTGCCTTCATCCAAAGACAGAATGCATCTGCTGACAGGTAGAAAACCAACAATCTGCATACAAATAAGTCAGATCTGTAAAACACTCAGGTTCTGGGACAAGGCTTAAGTCCAGAGGTGGACGAACGACCAGAACTTTCCACCGGAGTTTACAGCTGGTGAACAGGAAGAAAAAGAATCAAGTCCACACCATATCATTTGTTGCTGGGTAATCAAGTGTATGATTGGTTTCAGTCCAATTCCTCTAATTTCTATTACAACATATCAAATTGTAAAAAGCTGCATTTATGTAGCCCCAGTTACCTGGGGGAAGGGAGGGAGGACGACAAACCCACTGTTGGGCATACAATATAGGGCTAGATATATATTTTATAAACCAATCGGTACTGGTTGAGTGATATGGTCAACATTAGGCGGTCGCTTTTACTTCCCAGGACTGTGCCTGATACCCATTTAAGGCTTGGCCGACATGGAAACTGAGGTCATACTTTTAAAAAGCCCAGCTCCAAGAGGACCTGAATAAACAACCATACAACGCGCAGCTGAGCATCTAGTCGCTACACAAAAATGGCCTCTTCCCTATCTACAGTAATTTTATATTAACAAAAGTTGCAGGAAAGGAAGCAATCAGTATGTGATCTCCTCTAAACAGAGATTTGAAGGTAAGCTTTCTCACCACAATGCTTAAGTGTTTTCATCTGATCACCTCAAGCACACACAGGCTGTTTATCTGATTACCACTTAGGGTAAGTTCTCTACCTTTGACATGACATTTTTATTACTTGACATTCTTTACCGTGCAATGGAAACGACCAAGAATAAAAGAAAGACCTAGAGGAATATGGACTGAGGGGATTACTATGAGCTTGACATCACAGCATACCAAGCAACTGACGGTGCCTAAGCTCAGCTACCTATTATCAGTTAAACTGCTAAGTCTAGTGGCACAAAGCAGATACTGACAGAAGAAGAAGATTCCTTTTCCTTATGATTCTTCTTGATTTAATTTTTTTTTAACTGTGTTAATAATCAAGACAGCTATAATCCTTTACAGCAGTGGCTCTCAACCTTCTTAATGCCGCGACCCTTTAATACAGTTCCCTCGTGCTGTGGCAACCCACAAACAATTATTTTCCTTCATAACTTCAAAGAATATGTGTTGTTCGATGGTCTCAGGTGACCCATGCGAAAGGGTTATTTGATCCAAAAAAGGGTTGCGATCGGCAGGTTAAGAACCGCTGCTTTACAGGATTCACAAATCAAACCTATTATTTAATGGCTGCATTCTGTATGGGTTGTGGGGCACTGCTGCGGGGAGACTAACTGCTTCTTTAACAACCGTGTCATATAGTGACTAATTAGGGTTTCTTTCTTTGAAGTCTGAGTGATGAGGAACCAAAAGTCTGCATACAAATAAGCCAGATCTGTAAAACGGATGTGCAATGCAAAACCCAAGTTCTGGGACAAAAATCCAGACATGGACAAACAGCCAGAGTTTACAACCAGTGAATGCATCGTGGCATCAGGGCTGAAAGTGATTCCTGGAACGGGTCCTCCCATATGCTTCATATAAAGTACTTTTCAGTGTCTTTGATATTTCTGTGGTCTATATTTTGCGGGGTGACCTCTGGCTCTGTTATCGCTGTATCTGTATAACATTGCTCTCTGTGATGTCCTGTTTGATGCCAATCTTGTTACATGGCCAAACCATTTGATTTGTTGTCTACCTATAAAGTTCAGTATTGGTTTTGTGCCGACACTACTCCTAATATCATCGATTCCAAGTCAATAATTCCATGTTATACCTAGCATTGTACATAAACATTGCATTTCTGTTACTATTTTCCTTGTCATCTTAGGAAAATATCTGTATTTGACGTTGAAAGCTAGAGTTGGTAAGAATTACTGTGTTGAACAGTGTTCTCTTGGTGATCATACTCACATACTTGCATTTCAAAATTGGTGCCATTTGGCCTAAAACTTGACTGACTTCATTGCATTTTTGCTGGATTTTTATTTTATTAATTCTAATGTCTTGTGACAAAAATTGCCCCCCTTAATACGTAAAATCTTTAATTTAACTGGTGCTTACTTTTCTGGAGAATCTCATCACTTCTTTTGTCTACATTTAAATTCATATCATAGATGTCGCATTCTCAGTGGAATCTAAATATGTTCTTGTAGTTGCACTGCTGTTGGTGC